ACAGGCCTTATGTGAGCAGACCTAGGTCAGCTCGCCCTGGGAGCAAAGCACTAGGATGGCGGCATTCGGGCAAGAGATGAGGACTTCCTGTAGTTTAGAGAGACAAAGGAATCTCAGGGGACTTGTGCTTGGCCCCAAAAGCCCCGTTAACCACCCCCTGAAGGCCCCTGTCCTGGAACTTACGATTTGATGATGTTTCCTAGTGTGTGGTCTTCTTTATTGATGGTGAACAAACAGGCATTGGGCACTTTGGTGTCCTTGTTAATGGTGATCCTAGAAAGAGGCGGAAGCAACAATTGAGGGGCAGGAGCTCCCCAAGTCTAAACTCTGCCCTTCCAGACAGGCCAGGTCCTGCCTCCTCTGAGAGCCTTTCTCCATCTCTTCACCCCAGAGAAACTGCTCTGAGGGCTGGAGGGCCTGGTATAGAGCGCTTGCCTAGCATGTGCAAGGCCTGGGTTCCATCCCCAGCAGTACAGAAACAAAAACAAAAATCCTTCCTGACTCACGACAGTACAGTGACCCAGGGCCCTCCCACCCACCACACACACACACACACACACATACCCGTGTCAGCCGAACACTGATTGCCAGGGCCCCCACATGCTAGGGAGGGGCTGCGCCAACCCCCAGCCGCCCTGTCTCGCTAAGGCAGCACTCCACAGACACAAAACGACAGCTTTGTTTCCTATGGGGAGTTCTTTTGTACACTGTAACCTTAAGGGCATCCCTGGCTTCTACCCACTATATGTCAGCAGCAACCCCTGTGACAACCAGAAATGTTTCCAGACATTGCCAGTCTCTCCTAGGGACACAAGATGGTCCCCAGTCAAGTCTGTCTAAAGGAAGGCTGAAGTGGCCGACAAGGGCTAGACCATAGGACCCCACACACCAGCCTCAGGGAAGGCTCAGGGGCTGGGAATGTGGCTCAAGCGGTAGCGCGCTTGCCTGGCATGCATGTGGCCGGGGTTCGATCCTCAGCACCACATACCAACAAAGATGTTGTGTCCCGCGAGAACTAAAAAATAAATATTAAAAAAAAAAAAAGAATGAGAAGGCTCAGGGTGCTGGTACGCACCTATAGCCCCAGTGACCAAGGAGGACTGTAAGTCCGAGGCCGGCCTGGGAACATAGCAAGACACTGTCTCAAAAAAATGAAGGGCTGGGGATGCAGTTCAGTAGTAGAGCGCCCCTGGTTAAACCCCTGGGACCAAAACAAGCACAAGAAGGGCTAAGGCTTCAGTCTTCAATGTGCCCAGTCCAGGGCTCAGCGATTTGCACAAATTACTTCGTGTAAGCCTAAGAGAAAATTCTATGACAAAAAATTGCAGGAAGTCCACTTGCAAGGTAAAACTGGGCCTCCAGCCAGATCAGGCCACACCGGGGGCTCCAGGAGCCAAGCCTTGGCTGGCTGACCACTGGCCTCCAACCTGCCAGCAACAGGCACTCACTGCAGGTTCCACACCGGCAATGCCATACAGCAGCTTTAGAGCCATCGCTGTGGCTGCCCCACGGAAGGTGGAGGTGGCGGTGGCGGGTGGGAGACGCGTCGGCTGCCAGGTCCCTAAGGAAAAGGACTTAGGAGCCAGACGCGGGGTTCGACTATAGTAGACCCCACCAATTCCTGCAAGCCCGGTGCAAGTGACTCAACTTTCCTAAGACTCACTTCCCTCGTCTGCAAATGGGTGCACTCGCCACGGCCTCGCAGGGCTGCCTTAAGCGGGGCAAGCAAGAGCTGCTGCAAAAGCTGCTCCAGTCCCCCGCGCCGGGCCGGAGAAGCCCCAGACCCGCAGGGACCGAGGCGATGGGCGCTGCCCGCGAGCCCCGCCCGCCCTCTCCGCTTACTTCTTCTCGCCCTCGAAGAGCAAGAACGACTCGAAGGCCGGCGGGGCGTTCATCCTGGCGCGGCAGCCCGGCCCACACTCGAAGTGGCTACCACCGCCGCCCCCGCCAGCGCCTTATATCGTGACCTCTTCCGGGTCACGCCGGCGCTGCCACCTCGCGTAAGTCCGGCTCACTGCCCTCTGTCGGACCGGAGGACCTCGCGCAGGCGCACGCACACCCAAGGGAGGCCGCGAGCTCTGCGCATGCGTCAGTCCAGACTGCTCACGCGTGCTCTTACAGCTGGGGGGAGTGCTCTGGTTTCTACCGTGACATCTTGGTCCAGGCTAAGCGGGAATCCGAGATGGGCACCTCTGGTCTCTCCACACCCCTTCATCTCTTTGGAAACGTGTTCTGGAGGGTGACAGAATGGAGCCAATGGGGTAGGGGGCAGTTGTGGCTGCCAGTGGGGGGTGAGGAGTGCTGGTCCTAAGGAAGTATCCTAGCTAGGAGGATGTGTATAAAGAAGCCCTCTGTCAAAGCTCCTAGTGCAGAATGCTGCAAGACCCTTAGCAGGGTTGTCACTGGCTTCTTGTTAGCAGGGTCAGTCGGGGAAGGACTGGGGGAGGAGGCAGGTACACACTGACTCAAGAATGCCAGGAGCTTGGTGGGGTAAGTGCGTCATCCCCTGGTTGAATGGTTAATATTTTTGCAGACTCCGTTTAGTATAAAGGCCCTACCTGTGCTGTTTGAAGCAACAGAGGTCCCAGGTGAGCTACTGAGCCCTAACAGCTTGGCAGCAGCCCTGCAGCCCCCATGGGAATCCGGAGCTGGAACCACTACTTCCGTTTCCCACTTGAGCCCTGGAGTGACCAAATGTCACTGTGCCTGGGCGGTATCCAATCCAGGAGGCAATGAACAGGACCCTAACTCTCCAAGCCAATTGGGTGGGGCTTCTGAGAGGTGATGAAGTCAAGCCAGTAAGGGCAAGGATTCCCTGACTGGTGACCCCCACCCTCTGGGTCGCATGGTAGAGTTTGGCTGAAGATGCTGAGCATTTCATCTCTCAAAATGGGGACAGTGGGGTTGTGGCTCAGCTGCAGAGCGCTCACCTGGCAGGTTCGAGGCCCTGGGTTCAATCCTCAGTGCCACATAAAAATCAATAAATTAAGGTATTGTGTCCAACTACAACTAAAAAATAAATATTTTTAAAAATGCACATCTTGGGCTAAGGTCGTGGCTCAGTGGCAGAGCACTTACCTCACACATGTGAGGCACTGGGTTTGATCCTCAGCACCACTAAAAATAAACAAAATAAAGATATTGTGCTAACTAATGTGTATAACTAAAAAAATATTTTTTTAAAAAAATGCACAGCTTCTCAAAAATGTTCCATGAACGGCTTCATTGGGCACTTGTTCTCTGTTGCTACAGCAGATCTTTAATGCATGTTCATTCTATATTTGCTTTTTTTGTTGTTGTTATTTTGTTTTTGGTACTGGAGATTGAACCCAGGGGCTAACCCACTCACCCCTTTTTTTCGGGGGCTACTGGGGATTGAACTCAGGGGCACTCAGCCACTGAGCTACATCCCCAGCCCTATTTTTTAAAATATTTATTTAGTTGTAGATGAACACACAGTATGTTTTTGTATTTTTATGTGGTGCTGAGGACTGAACCCAGTGCCTCACACATGCAAGGCAAGCACTTTACCACTGAGCTACATCCTCAGCCCCAGCACTATTTTGTATTTTATTTAGAGACAGAGTCTCATTGAGTTGCTTAGTGCCTTGCTTTTGCTGAGGCCGACTTTGAACTCGTGATCATTCTGCTTCAGTCTCCTGAGCCACTGGGATGACAGGCATGTGACACTGTACCTGGCTACCCACCTCCTTTTTATGAAACAGGAGGCGCAATCATCAGATTGCTGAGACTGGCCTCCAACGTGTGTTCTTCCTGCCTCAACCTTGGGAGTCACTGGGATCACAGGCATGTGCCACCACCCCTGACTTCTGAATGTGGTTTTAAACATCCATTTGAACTTCTAACTGGATGCCCAACTCTTCCCTCCATGTGTCCTTATTTTGTGATCTTGGGCAAATTACTGCATTTGCCTGATGGCTTAAAAAACATAGAGCTGCTAACAGGCTGACAGGTGGAATATGTAACTGAATTGGCGCAGGTAAAATGTTGGAACGCTGCCCACTTGGATGCTCCTGCGTATTGGCAGCTGCAGCCAGCAGCCAGTGCTGGGATGGCAGAGGCTCTACAGTGGGGCAGCCTTGGGGGAGGGGATGTCCACTGAGTCCTACCAGGAGGCCTCAGGGGCTTCTCTGCCCTTAGGCAGGAAGGCTCCTCCCACCCTGCACCTGGGCTGCCCACAGCAGCAGCAGCCCATGGTCCTGGTACAGGACAGCACAGGAAGGGCGCATGGGCATGTGGAATGGGGCAAGATGATGACAGGGGCCCTGTCCCTTGTCACTCCAGCACCCCAGGACCAATGCTGCTGTGATCCAGAGGCCAGTTGTCATTGCCACACAGAGGCAATGGGGGGTCCTCGAGGGATGGGGCCTGAGAGGGATGAACCAACCAAAGGCACAAGTTCCCAGAATGCCAGGGACTCTGCCTGAGGAACCTCTACTCCTATGACACAGGGACGGGACCCCATTCACACTCTGTGACAGCAGGAACGGCCTGGGCCTCTGGGAAGGAAGGCATAAGATAAACCCTGCGGGGCCAGAAATGGGTGACCTTTGGCATCTGGTGTCTGAGAGTGAAGGTGGCCACCTGCCAACGTGGGCTGAAGGCCCTGGACAGTGGTTCAGGGCCTTCTCCTCACCCTGAGCCAAGTCACCAGGACACGGCTGGGAGCTCAGCCTGGCAGCCCCCAGCGTGGGCAGCCCCCAGCGTGGCCAACCCTGCGGTCCTACAGCTTGGCCTGGGTGCAGGAAGAGGGGTGGCCCTGCTGTGCAGGCTTCAGGACGCTCTAGGCAGGGGCTTCTGGGGAGTCGGCTTCAGGGAGACTGCAACTGGGAAGGGCTGGGACCTGTGGGGGTGGAGGAGGGGACCCAGGAGTAGAGGGGTTCCTGCCCAGGTGGGGGGGGCAAGAGTGGGCAGAGAGATGCACAGAGGACCTGTGACAGCCCCGGCTCCCCCCGATGCCCACTCCAAGACCCCCGAGCTCCGGCAGTCACAGCAGTTTATTGTTGGCTGTAGGGTACCTGGTGCCCTGCTCAGGGGCCAGGCAGCAGGGGGGGGGGGCGCAGGGTCGTGGCCATAAGCGAGGGGGCATGGGAGGGCATGAGGCGGCCTGATCTTCTGGGCCTGGATCCCCCAGGGCTGTCCTGGCTGTGTCTGTCCTAGGCAGGACAGGAGGGTCCCTGGAGAATCTGCGCTGCAGAGGGCATAGGGAATGGCCGGGCCTCCCAGGAGCCACCCAAGTCCCCCAGACTTCAGGTCAACCATGAAGGGCCAGAGACCCACCGAGGGGGACCAGGCTGGCCCCCAGTGGGGATGGCTGGACACAGAGCCCAGAGCACAGCGTCGTTTCCAAGCGCCTGGCAGGTGGGGGGCTCCACGCAGGCCTCACGTCTGCAGCTCCAGGAGGCGGCTGGGCTCTGAAGGGGGCGGCCCGGGTGGGCTGGCGCTGTGGGCCTCCCGGAGGTCCTGCAGCACCTGGAGCAGCTGGCCCAGCGGGTCTGTGGGGGCTGCAAGAGACGCAGCTGTGAGGGCAGCACTCAGGGTTTTGGGTAGACACGAGTCCCCGATGGAGAGACCTACCTTCACCAGAGCCCGCGGGCACAGCATCTGCCTCTGTGTCCCCACTCAGCTCCCGGTGCTTCTCCCTGGGGGTGGGGGGTGAAGGGTAGGTAAGGGTCAGTGCCACATCCCACCTGCCGGGAAGGCCCAGGGACCCCACGTGGAGGATGGGGCTGACTCAGTCTATTGCAGGGGGGTGGGGTGGGGGGGACAGGTCTTGGGCGCTGGTCACCTTCCAGTTTACCTCTTCCAGCCAATCCCTCCCCTGCCCCAAATGTGGGTCAACCAGAAAGTTGTTTTTTTTTTTTTTTTGATACTAGGGATTGAGCCCAGGGGCACTTAACCGCTGAGCCACATCCCTGCCCTTTTTTGTATTTTATCAGAGACAGGGCCTCACTGAGTTGCTGAGGCTGGCTTTGAATTCACGATCCTCCTTCCCTCAGCCTCCCAAGCTGCTGGGATTACAGGCAAGCCCCACCAGAGGCTTTTTACATACCAAACTCAACCTTGTCGCTTTGCCTTGCAGGGCCTGCCTGAAAGGACACAGCCATCTGGGGCCTGAAAGTCCCTAGTGTCAATTGGTCATGAAATGGTGGGGTTTTTTTGTTTTTGGTTTGTGCTGGGTGGAACCCAGAACTTTCCACATGTTAAGGGTATACCTCAATCAGAGCTATACCCCAGCCCTTAATCCCCCCCCCAAGTTCCTTGCTCTTAATATTGACATGTTGCGACACCTGATGAGTGATAATAAAATATTCCACATACACAAAGTGGCTGTCCACCTTACAGTCTGCTTTGTGAAATGGTCTGTCAGCTGACCCGGTCACCCAGGGAGTGCATGTCCTGCCTTGCTCTGGGGGTTCGCAGATGCACACTGTCTCAACTGGACTATAACATTGCCCACCCTGAGTTCCTAAGGGACACAGTGACAGCTGCAGTACAGTTCTGGGTCCCATTCTCTGTGAGCTGGGGGAGGGGCGAGCAGCCTGAAGCACCTCACAGGCCTCCCAGTCCATTCTGGGAGGGACCGTCCCCCTCTGCTGGGTCTAGAAGGCTGCTCCCCAGGAGGCCCTCTGGGACCTGCAGGGTTGGCCCCACATGCTGTCCTGCTCCTCTGGGATGGGTATGTCATCTTTATGCCATGTCGTCCCTGCCTGGACACCCTTCTCAGCTCTGCCTTCTGCCAGATGTCACAGGACAGCTCTAGTGCCATCCGCCCCACCCTGCCCCCTCCGTGCCTCTGAGGGCCCAGTGTCCCCAGCACTGCTCTTGCTATTGGGATTGAGGAGAGAATGAGCCCTGCCTGCGTGTCGCTCACAGTGTCGTCAAGAGACCATCAAGGAATAAGGACCAAGGAAACATCACTAGGTTCAAGGGTGATGGGTCCCTTGGGGTAACAGGTCAGGGGAGGCCTCTCTGACATGGTGGCCTCAGAGTATAGGGATGGGCAAGTGAACACCTGAGAAGAGCCTTCAGACAAAGGGCACAGCAAGTGCAAAGGGCCTGGGGTGGGGGTGGAAGACAAGGCTGAGAGGGAGACTGGCCAGGGCATATGGGACTCGGTGGCCATGCTGATGACTTTGGTGTTTAAGTGCATGGGCAGCAGAGGCTGTAAGCAGGCAGTGCTATCCTTTGTTCCAGGTCTCCGAGGCCCATGCCATGGGTTCTCTGGAGAGCAGATCCTGGGAGGCTGCCAGGGAGACAGTGGAGAGGCTCAGGCCAGAGGGAGAAAAGGGGTTAGATCTGGGCTCAGTGAAAATCAGGAGGACATTCAGAGGGTGGATGCAGAGGCCGGCGAGGCAAGGGATGGCCCTAGCTCTGCAGCATGCACATCCAGAGGGCGGAGGAGAGGAAGGAAGGAAGAGCCCAGTGGGGTTTCTAGACATCGACACAGAGCTCAGGGACCACTGGCCAGGGACGTGACTGACAGCCACAGGCAGAAGGCAGGCCCAGGTGTTGAGGGGGAGGAGGAGGAAGAGGCCCGGGCAGGGAGCTGCCAGCTGCTGGGTCAAGAGGAGGAAGACAGCGTGGACTGATCTGGCTATGTGGCGGTCACCTGTGACCTAGACAAGGGCAATCTGGACAGAGCTGGGGGCAGAGGCTGACCAGACGGGCTGGAGAGAGAGTGTAAGGAGGGGACGCAGGGACACACAGGGTGGCCAGGGCAGCCAAGCAGTGGCCTGCCAGTGTAACCAGGTCCTAATCCTTGGACCCTGGGAAAGTGACCAGACAGGACAGAAGGGACTTTGCAGATGTGGACAAGTGAGGGATGGAGAGGTGGGGGGAGGAGCCTGGGTGCTCCGGGGGGGCTATATGTGGTCACAAGGGTCCTCAGAGGAGGGAGGCAAGATTGGCAGAGAAGAGGATAGGAAGCAGGGGCTAGATGAGGCAGCTGAAGGGTAGGGACAGGCACAGGCCTGAGTCAAGTGGCTTTTAGAAGCTGAAAGAGGCCAGGGATTCCCCCTCCAGCCACCAGGAGGCGCCGGCGCTGCGGACACCCTGCCTGCAGCCCGGGGAGACACTGTACTTGTGGGGTCCAGAACCCAGAGAAGGAACCTATTCCTTTCAGTTGCAAAGTCCGAAGTGACAGGTTGACGAAGTCCCCGGGAACTAACGCAGCCAGGCTCCGTGAACAGGCAGCTGGTCTTAGGTCCACTCCTGGGTTAAGCGGGGATGGTGGGGCGCTGACCAGGGATGGCCGAGGGTTCTGCAGTTTACATGGGGAGGCGGGAGGGCAGGGGCCAGGCTGCAGCCGGGGGACCAGTGGGTGACTGGAGAGCCACTTCCCAGTGGGGGGGAGGTGGCGAGATCAGTGAGGAAGACACTGCTGTCACAGTCACTGCCCCAGGTTGCAGGTCAGGTCACTGCCCAGCAATGCCCCTGTAGAGCCACCAGTCCCTACTCAGGGCTCAACCGCAGCCCAGGGCAGGGCAGGCACAGGGTCAGGTTCAATGGGGACAGAAACTGGGGGGTGGGGTGAGCCAGGGTCACACCGACAGAGAACAAGTGGCCACAGAGACAAGACTTCTGGGGACAGCAGCCCTCAGGAAGCGAGTGCCTCTAGACAGACGGGGTGAGCTTGGGGTTTTGAGGGAGGGGCTGCGCCCTAGTGAAGGATGGGGAGGCCCAGCCCCACTGTGGCCAGGGGGAGAGCAGAGGGCTGTGGGTGAGGCGGCCCCATCCTCAAACACCTGCAGCAGGCCCCACCCTGGGAGGCCCCTCAATGGGGCCCAGACATCCTGTTTTCAACTTCATCCTGTCTGGGCTGGGACACGGCTCAGTGGGGCACTTGCCTGGCACGTGCCAGGCCCCCACACCACACACACACACACACACACACACACACACAAATTAAGCATCTTTCTAACCAGGACTGAGAGCCATGGATCAGCAAGACAGCCAGGAGCTCAGAGCTGGCCTGTGTCCTGGGGCCACTGTGATGTCCACCCAGGGCAGGAAGCAGCCATGGCCCTGACCCTTAGGGCCTAAGAGAAGCCGGCCTCCTGTTTCAGAGAGGCCCTCTTCAGACACGGCTGGGAGAGAGGAAGGTGCTGGTCCCCAGTAGAAGAAAGGTGGCCAGCCACCACAGAGCAGCGCTCAGCCTGACTCCAGCCTTGGCCCTGGCCCAGCTCATTCCCAGGATGCACCACTCTGTGTGGGACCTGCTGCCCCTGTCCAGGGACCCCCAGGACGCCCAGCTCCCCGGGGACCGCCGTCTCAGCAGGGCCTCCTCACCGCAGCACGGCCTCCACACCCAGCAGGTGCCGGTAGACGAGCTGGGCCTCCAGGTCGTGGTCGAGAGGGTCATTCCACTCCTGCAGGGTCACTCGTGACCGGGTTTTATCACAGCCCCGACCTGGCAGCAGGGGGAGGGCAGAGTTACTAGAGAACCACCAGCCACTGCCAGTGGTACAGACAGGGAAACACGGCTCTGGGAGGGACGGGGCTGGACGCGGGCAGGGGCTGGTGTGTAGGGCCCAGGCCCTCCAGGTCCCCACCCCTCTGGCTGCCATGGGCCTGGGCTCCTGAACCACGGGCTGAGTGGCTGGAGCTGGGATGCAGGATCCAAGCCAGGGAGCTGTGGTTTCTGGAAGGCCACCTGCCCAGGGGCCGAGGGAACTAAGATCACAGTGAGGGGGCCCCAGGGGCTTTGAATGAGCCAACCCTGCTACCTGCCCACAGTCCCAGCTTCTTTCCTGTAAAGTGGGACACTGGGCCCTGCTTCATGGGCTACTTCACCAATGACAGTGTTGTTGCGATGGTCACAGCCACAGGTCAGGCCAGTCAGGTGACCACTTGTGCCCTACTAGTGAGCCACGGCCCACCCACTGCTCAACTGCAAGCCCAGGGCACGGCTGGCGCAGGTGGCCAGGTGGGTGGCCTCTCCTGTGCTCTGCCCGGGCTGAGGCCAGGGGCTCCTAATGCTGAGGCCACCAATCAGCAGGAGGGGGTAGGGAGGCCCCTGACGTTCCTGAACCACTCTGTCCACCAGTGGAGCCTCTAGCCTCATGAGACTGTTAATTAAAATTAAATAAAGTTTTTTAAAAATTAAAAACCCCATTCGCTGGCCTCCCTAAACACATTCAGTGCTCAGCAGCCGTGTGCTGTGGACACGCACTACTTCCACAGTCACCCAGGGTTCTAGATGCCCAGGGCCCAGTCCCACCCCCTGCAGCTCTAGTATCAGAGCTGTGCCCACTTGGGTGCCCTCTGGCATCAGGAGCAGGGGACTCCTCTTCCTGATGTACAAGAAGCCTCTCTGCAAGGGCAGGTCCCCAGGACTCCCTGTTCCAGGAGTCTGGGAAGTGCCAGGTTAACTGGCTTCCAGGGCAGTTCTGGAGCTCTGAGGTCCCTCGGAGCCTCGACCTGTTCACCACGTAAGCCACACACATCAGGTGTCCCAAGCCACCTAGCCACGGAGCCCTCTGTTCCCAGAGCACCTGGAGAGCTGGCTTTCCTTAGGTTGATCCCCTCCACAGACACAGAGCAGGGCCCGGGCCCCGCCCACCTGTCTTGTCCTTCTGGTGGCAGCAGCTCCACTTGTCCCCGCGGAAGACGCCGGGGTGGTAGGTTCCCAGCAGGCCACTGTTGTTGACGCTCACCTTCCGCAGCGCAGACAGCCACTGGTTCAGCTCGTTCACACACTGCAGGGACGCAGGCCCAGAGTGATCGCCGGCCCAGAGTGACCACAGGCCCAGAGTGACCACTGCAGGAGGCCCACTCTCCCCGGAGCTCCTGCGCCACCTGGACACCAGGGTTCCCATCTGCCCACGGACAGCTTGGGGACAATCAGGAAAGGCCAGCCTTCCCCACAGGGTCACAGTCACGCCGGGCACTCTGGAGCTGTGCTCCTGGGTGCTCTGGGACCTGCTAACTGTGCGCGGTGGCCCTGTCACCACTTTTTCCCTGTGGCTCTGGACCCTGACCCAAAAGGGAACCCCAGAGGGCAGGGCCTGTGGGATGAGTCTGTGACCTCCCTGCGTTGGCCCAGGACTGCTGTCCCAGGAGGAAGCCAGGGCCCCTCACCTCAGACCTCCTGCTTGTTCCCTGTGTCCTCACCCCAGACGTAATGTCCCTGCTCAAATGCCACCTCCCTGATGACCCCGCATACAGCACAACCGCCCCCACTCTCAGAGTCCCTCAGTCCTCCTTCCAGGCTCCATCGTCATGGACATTTAAAATATTCATTTAGTGGTCCACCTCCTCCCCTAGAGTAGAAGCAGGAACCTCTTCGTCTGCCACAGCATTCCTGCACCCAGAATTGTGCAGAACCTAGGAGATGCTCAATAAATTTTGTAGGGTTTTTTTTTGGCGGGGGGGGGCCAGAGATGAAACCCAAGCCTCACACATGCTCAGCACGCGTTCATCACTGAGCTGAACTTTTGTTTGAGTCAGGGTCTCCCCAACTTGCCCAGGTTGGCCTTAAACTTGCGATCATCCTGCCGCAGCCTCCCAAGTTGCTGTGACAGCAGTGGTGCACAGCCAAGCTCGGTGCCACCAATATTCTTAAGTGAATAATGACTTAATAGGGCCACCCAAGACCCCACCCGGGATGCCCAAGCCACACATGGACCATGGTGCCCAGGGACTCAGACCCCAGGACAAGTGCACACCCTCTCCCTGCACCCGCCCCGGGGCTGCACCTTGCACTGCAGGTAGGCAGTCTGAGGCCGGCCGGCCTCGTCCGTGTAGATGACCTGCATGACGTGTGAGCTGCTAAAGCTCTTCTCCTCCACCTTCTCGGCTGCCCGGATGTTGGCGAGCTTGATGAGGGTGCTCTTCTAGGACAGGCAGGGGAAGGGGCTCAGGGCCGGGCGGGGCTGCTCCACTTCCTGCCTCTGGACATCAGCCTCCCTTCTGTAATCCCAGGGGTTGGCATGGGAGACCAAGTGATGATTGCTCCTAGGGCCCAGTGAGGTGAGCAACCTCAGCAGGACACAGCACCAAGCCACTGGGAGGGGAGCAGCCTCGTTCCCTGGGGTTCCCAGCAGGTCTTGGAGGGGGGAGCTCGGGAATAGCATCTGGACCCAGCATTGCCAGGACTCTTGAGGTCCCACACAGGCTGTGCCTCTGCACTGATCCATGCCCACCTGCTGTCCCTGCCTCTCAGTCCTTTCCAGCCCCACCCCAGCCACTATGGGACCTGAAGACACATGCATGGGACAGAGAAAAGCTGCAAATCCAGATAACCACATCCCTAAGGGGTCCCCAACCTGCCAACGCCAAATCTCCACTCCCAATCTCTCACCCCAGCTCTGTTTTTTATTTGTTTGAGACAGAATCTTACTATACTTCCCAGGCTGACCTCAAACTTGTTGGCCTCAAACTTGGAATCCTCCTGCCTCAGCCTCCCGAGCAGCTGGGATTACAAGCGTGCACCATTGCACCAGATTTCTCCCTGACTCTTGAGTACCCTCCCATAAAAATTCACTTGAGGAGGGGCTGAAGTTGTGGCTCGGTGGTAGAGCACTTGCCTAGCATGTATGAGGCACTGGGTTGGATTCTCAGCACCACATATGAATAAATAAAATAAAGGTCCATCGACAACTAAAAAAAGTTAAAAAAAAATTCACTTGGGCCCCACAATAATGCCAAGTTGAGGTGTCCCCCCTGAGGGGAGGCTGTGGGTAGCAGTCCTGCACAGGGATCCACAGGACATGCCCACAGAAAGGTGGAGCTTTATGCCAAGGAGCACAAGTTGGCCCAGACTTGAGGACAGGATAAGGTTTTGTTAAGGATATGGGCACTTCAGTGGGCACCCCAGGGATGGTATACGCACAGAGCTAAAGAAACTGGCCAGCGGGAGGCCGGGAGACCAGAAAAGACCTGCTCAGACCAGAAGGGTTGCAAAAGTGCTGCAAGCAGGGACAAGACAGGCAGATGCCCAGCGTGAGACGAGGACCACAGAGAACAGCAGGTCAGAGGGCAGGTGTGCAGACATCGAGATGCCATTACAGTGGAATATTATTCAGCCCCTAAAATGAATTCTGTCATTTGCAGCAACAAGGAAGACACTGTGTTAAGTAAAATAAACCTGGCACAGAAAGAAAACACTGCATGTTCTCGCTTACAAATGGGGAAAAAAAGAAGCCATTAGAGTGGGGAGGGAGGATGTGCAGAGGAGCCGGATCCGGGCAAATACGGACACCTGCTGCCACAGAAACAGAATGTGCGCTACTACAGAGGCCACTGTGATGGAGCATGCCCCCGTCACCTGGGGACCCTCAGGAACAGGCCCTGAGGTTCTGGCCTGGCTCACCCTTGAGCACTGGATTTATCAGTGTGACCTGAGGAAGAAATGGAGAGGACCTGAGCCAGCTAGAGCCACGGGCAGAATTAAACAGGACCGAGCTTATGAAGGAAAAAATATTAAGCCCCACTCTTCAGTTTTTCTTTCCTGAAAAAAAAAAATTACCTGAGTCTCAGAAGGTTGAATTTGAGTCTATTGTGAGACGTAACAATAACAAAAAAGCCAAAGCAATACTAGTAGAGGTACGAGAGCCAGAATCAGGGAGGGGATTATCCAGTCTGCTCTTCAGTATTCAGATAACCACCGTGTGCACAGTTCCAAATGCCACAGTCCAAGAGGGAACTTGGCAACGAAGCATGCAAGATATGGAAAATGGGTAGAAAGCTCAGGGGTGCTGGGATTCCGGAGACCACACTTTGGTTTACGTTCTCTACTACATTAAGGCAGAGTGGTCGAGCCGAGACCAGAGAACATAGCAGACTTCAGCTCAAGGTAAGCAACTTTCCAACAGCTGCCAAGACAGAGCAGGCTATGTTTACCAGGTGAGCTCCCTGTCATCATCTCTGGTGGCACACAAAGTCTTTTGGGTATGTTGGTGGGGTGACCCGTGACCCATATGGGGTTGGACGAGATCCCTCCCAGAACTCAGATGTGGCAATTCTACACCCCTGCCTCTTCCAGGGAGCTGTTCCTGATTGTCCCAGCCTTCCTCTCTAGCAGTCTTTGTGAGCCCAGCCACCTCGTGGAACCTGGCTTGCTCCTGCTTCAAACACGTCCCCAGAACTCCAGAGCATCCGCGCCACTGGTGACCATGCAGTCAGCAGCATCGTGGGGAGGACGAGGGTGCAGGGAGGCAGACGTGTGCCACCCCTGATCATGTGGCTTCAAACAAGTCCCTTTGTGCTTCTGAACCCAGGTTTCCATAACTGGGAGTAACACTGGCAATCTGGCCAGGTTGGAGAGGAAGACTAGGGAGGTGTGGGATGACAGGGCTGACCACAGAGAGCACCTCCCAGAGTGGTCACCATGAGGGCCGTGAGGGCTCCTCACTACTGCTGATCCCTCAGGGAGAGGTGGGCTTCCCCAGGAGGCAGTCAAGGGGAAGCCCTATGCAGGGCAGAAATGACACCTGTGGCCTCAAATGTCTCATAGAGCCACCTAACTGTCAAAGGCTGGTAATTGACAGAAATGGGGACCAGAACGAAATAATGCCTACAAGGCAGGATCTTTCAATTTGAAGGTCAAGAATCATTATGGTAATCCGGGGGTCTTTGGTAGAAGAGATGCTGGGCCCCTCAGTCAATTCCTTGAGAGAAGCAGGTGATCAGTTCCTTCACCTGCTCCAGGCCACACCCACCTGCTCAGGGCTGGGCATGGCACCCCTGCTGGGGTTAGGTGAGTCATCAAGGGGTCAACAGGTCCATCAGAAAAGCATGCTCTCAGCCCTTCTTGGGATGAGGTTAGGACCCTTGGAAACACTGTCTCCTTAAATCTCAGCAACCTGGCAAGTAGGCACGATTATCCCAAATTTACAGGCTGAGACACCAAGAAATCAGAGGGGTGACACTTCTCCTATGTACACAGGCTAAGCAGGGCTGGATACCAGAACTCCATGCCTCCCTGGCTCCTCTCAGAACCTTTAGTTCCTCTCTGCTTTCCCAAAAACATCGCTGGAGCCCCCCAACCCCAGCCCAGCGCACCTGACCCGGCAGCCAGGGCTGAACCCGCAGTCGCTGCCGCGTGCCTGGACACAGAAGCCTCCATCCTCCTCAGCCTTGACTACCTGAAGCCCAGACACCAGATGCCCAGCTAGCCTGGCTTCCTTCTCCAGGGCAGGTGGTCCCCTGGGGTGGGCCAGGGACGGGCACAGGTGCCTCTTGTCTTCTAATTCCTCGCCAGCCTCCCTCCCTACCCACCTTGGAGCTGGGCGTCTTGGAGAAGCTGAGGGCTTCGGTGGTGAGGGAGAAGTGGAGTTTCTTGAAGGAGGAGGACGTGAGGGGGCCCTTGCCCTTGGTCCTGTGGATGAAGAGCGTCCCCTCCTTCACAGGCGGTGCCTGCAAACTCAGGGTTCGCTGCAGGTCCAGCTCTGCAGCCGGGGAGTAGGGCGGAGCAAACATGAACACGAGGCTGTGGGCGGGGCCACGGGCGGGGCGGGGGCAGAGCAGCGGCAGGCGGTGCTACGAGATACCAGCCACCATGGGCGGGGCCTTGGCCCCGGGGCGGAGCAAACGTGAACTGGAGGCGGTGGGGG